TAAATTTTGAACCAAAATTGTTCTTACACATTTTTGGCTGATGAGCCAGTGTCACCTTAGATATTTGGAGGAGACCCTCTAGAGTTGTCACTACTGCCTCTTTACCCAAACCAATACTATCAGACATATTTGGGACTGAGAGGTAAAATTAGTTGGATCCATTCTTTTTAAATAAAGCATATTATTATATTACAAGTTTGTGACATTGATTTATTTTTCTACACGGCCGTGATCCGCTGAAATTCATTAACCATGGGCGGAAGATTATCGGCTTACACCAGCCTAATGACGATTGGTTTTTGGCTGCTTTGTCGCTATCTGGGATGAAGGACTTATGCAATATCGGTTATGTTATGGTGAACCATGGGATGATTAAAGTATTTGTAGAGAGATGGCACACTGAGACCTCATCATTTCATCTATCCCTTGATGAGATGTCTATCACACTCGATGATGTGTTGTGTCTACTGCATCTTCCGGTTAGGGGGAAGATTTTAGATCACAGGAGGATTAGCAAAGATGAGGCACTTGAGTTAATGGTAAACTATTTAGGAGTTGACCCGGAGGCTCCCTTGAGGGAGATGAAAAAAACAGAAGGACTCATGTTAGGTTTCAATTCCTGAAAAAGGTATATACAGATGAGTTCCTTATAGCAGAGCAGGATATAGGTGATGACGAGCATGTGGGCTACATAAAGCTTATGATATGTGAGCATACCTGTTATATTTGGTTGGCACTTCCATTTTTGTGGACAATTGTGCCACTTATATGGATGTCGTCTACCTATGATACTTCGAGGACTTTAAGTGGATCCATGAGTACAACTAGGGGGTCGCTTGTTGGGTCTACTTGTACTCTAAGTTATCTGAGGGCTATAGGTGGAAGACGAAGCAGGTGATAGGAAGCATCACACTTTTGATGGTAATATTTATTGTCTTTTAGTGTTTGTGAGTCATTTTCATTACATTTTTACAACGCCCTTACTGATGATTTGTGTGTTGCAACACTTTTCAGACTTGGATCCTCCAACACTTCTCATGCATCTCCAGTTGGTCGTGTGTATAAGATATGTCACGTTCTTCTGCATTTGCCCCGCTCAACTGAAACCAGGTGATAGAGACATTTCGAGTGTACATTGACCACTTGGTAGCCAAGGATATACATTTTAACAACTATGTCGATCACCGTGAGACCTGGACATCTGACTACATAGTGTTATACTCGAGACGGTTGGCTTGCGGTTCACGACTGAAATTTCCTCATTTTCCTGAGTGCGTCATGCGGCAATTCGGCTACACCCGTACTATTTCTAGACACCCTGTTGTCTCTGCTCCTCCTGCTCTGACACGTAGAGATATGGATGTGATGTTTGATTATTATCTTAGTAATCTGGTATCGGAGGAGGTACAAAGAACTATAGCTAAGAGCGATTGGAGCTATGTCGATGGGTACATCAGGTGGTTCTTTAGGGTGTGACACCCATTTATGGTGCGGGCTGGTCCAGAAGATCCACTGAGGCTAGCTCATCAGGTGATACTAGAGGATAAGCAAACACGGTTAGATCATGTTAATGATGTGTTTTCTAGATGTCGTCATGTTGTGGTGATTGTGCAGGCAGACATTGGCAGAGGTATCATTTTTTATGGTTCTGAGGTGAGGGGGTCTTAGAAGCCATTATGACGGAGGGACGAGAGACACTGATGTACTGGAGACACTGTAGGAGAACGGGGGGCATATGAGGCTGAGAAGACTGAAGAGCTCTAGTCTGGCATACGTAGTAGTTTATAGTATTTGTACTTTGAATTTATTATCAATTGTATTTTATTTTGACTTATTTCGACTATATTGTGTATTTCAACTTTATTATGTATCGGCTGATGACTTATTTTTACCATCTAGATTTATATATGTCATTTTTTGCATATCAATTGTATGATTTAATGCTCATCACATAATAGAGGCCTGAACATTTATAAATCTTTATTTTCATCTGAGTAACCATAAAACTAACTTAACTTATATTATTTTGATTGGTTACAGAGATGTATCTCTGTAAAACCTAAATGGATGTGCATCTTCGAATCAATAAATGTTTAAAATGGACTTTCTAGAGAGTGATGCATGTGGTATTTTGAAATATTTCAGAGATGCATCTTTGAATTACTTAACGTTTTAACTTAAGAGAAGGTGCGTCCGGAAATGCATCTCAGAAATTTGAGGGTCATTTTGGGTTTTCCAAAGGATTTTTCCATCCTACAAGGTGGGATAAGAAAACCCTAATTTTAATGTTGGAACGGACTCAATATGATGTCCACTAACATCTGCTTCATAAAAAAAGAGTTGATTTTTCCACCTTTAGGGGTTATCTCACACCACCGTAAAAATATTAAAATGTCTCCAACGTTCGAAGACACAACTGAGACGAAAATGATGAGAAACCCTTATTCTGTTAAATTTGATTCGGAGATGTATCTCCACTTGCACAAAAGGTTGATTCGAAGATGTATCTCCGAACTCCCCTTTAGTTCATTTGTCTATGAGCATTCTAGAGATACATCTCCGAATTTTTCTGTTAGTTCAAAATAGAAACAGGCAGAATGAGAAACATAAATTAACTTCAAAATAAACATTATAGATAATACTACATAAATTCAACATTACATAGACAAATATTACATAAATTTAACATTACATGTTATTAAAAATAGGTTGTTTGAGACGTTGCGACATTTTTATAATATCTTCGACTGAAATTTGAATTGTCGCATTCACTTCAATCGAACCCTTTGTTGAATAACGATAGAAGGTACTCCACACACCTTCAAATCATCATCTCTTTTCACTTCAAGCATAGTGAATCATATATTCCCTTCATTGTCAATCGATGATGAATAACAAACCCATAAGTTCATGAGGTATTTCAGAGATTCGTCTCTGAATACACCCAAATCTATGATACGGAGTTGCATCTTCGGGTCTTTTTTTCTTTCAAAATCTGAGATGAAACTCAGAAAAGAGAAGATATGTATGATTTTTGGTGTTGAGGGCATTTTCAGATTTTTAAGAGCGTGGGCACCGGCAAAGATGGAAAGAGCATTTCCCAAAAAATAAATTGGATATTACTATGACATAAGTATTACACTAATTATGCGCGAAAATGCCCATGAGATACGCTTCGAGTGTTTATGGTGTGATTTTAATTGATTTTGAAACAAAAACTCCTATAATATAAAGAGAAATTTGCTCGTAATAAAACATATAAAATAAATAGATTAAACTAAATTAATTAGTGGCATTAAAAAAATAATTAGTTAATGTAATATATCATATTAATAAAAATTAAATAAATATTAAATTATGTACATGCGCTTCCATTGGATTTGAATTAGTTTTAAAAAATCAATCTATTTTAAAAAAATGACATACATACACATTCAATAATATTTAATTTTTTGCAATTTATTTTATTGTTTTAAAACAGTTTATAATTTTTATTTGAATCAGTTTAAATTTGAATATTTTTATTTTAGACGCCAAAATGATTTAATTTGGTGGCCTGTTTGTTGGGGAAGGTTTGAGTGTTTTTTCTAATTTCATATTTGAATTAAGTTAGTGTTAACAATCACTTATTTTAAACGGATCTCGCTAGTGGATAGTGAGATTGATCTTCTTAAATTAATCAAGTCGGAAACCAAATTTTTAAAAATTAATAACGAAATGAATTGGTGGCTGTGAAACATTAATTTGATTATGCAACTTCAATATGAATAAAAAAATATTATCAAGAGGAACTAAAACTTAACAAATGATAAGCACATAGGTAGATTAAGTCAAAACAGGAGTGACAAATATAATTAAGCTGATCGGTGTAATTTGAAAGTACATAGTCCAATTTTTTAGTACATTGGATAATAGGCAAAGGAACAAAAACTTGAGAAAATCTTTATGCTATGCACTGCAAATAATACCAAATTTCATCTCATAGAATGCATGGCATGTTGTGTAGTAATATACAAAACTCCTGAACCTAATTTATACATTGATGTCCAAAACAATCGCAATCATGGCAAGGCAAGACGTCAAACGGGACTGTAAATCATATTCACCCAACAGCTATATAACTCAAATAATTCATCATTAATGGAACAGACCAAGTATCAGACGGACCGGACCACATTTGTCTGGTTGCTTTTTTTGGATCTTTGTTACTACTACCTGTCTCTGTTTGGAAACATAGGCATCAAAGATCAGAAGCCTACTTTACCAACAACCTAGCTACTGCTACATAAGCTTACAACCTAGACATTAACATACGACAACAACTTGTGAAAATCAAACTTGGCTTAATGATTCGATTTGACATTTCTAAATCAAAGAGGTGCTTAACCTATTCAATTCCAATTAATAGACTAGTTGGTATAAAATGACCCATAACCAATACAATGAATGATTTGTTAATATTAAACAACTAAACTATATTTTTTCTTTGTATTTTCAAAAATAATATTTATCAAAACTTTATTCAAAAATGATAGAACTGGACATGTAAAAATAGAGAGAAATGTATATATCTTTATGTACATATAAAAAAAATGATAAATACTAATGATTTAATCTTCCACAAAGTGCAAGATCCAGTAATTCAAATTTGTATATGAATATGAATTCCTCCATGTACACTGCTGTTTAAACTCACTCGCCCTGCAATGTCAGGGTTGCTACTATACATGAATTTAATGGATTATTGCTTATATTTATTATATTATACATACAAAATATAAAGTATCCCCTGGCTGATTTGCTTGACTTGAACTTCTGTGAAAGCTATCCTCCCACCCCACCTTCTCCTTTTCTTTTGTTTCCTCTTTTTTTTTATACAAAAAAGTTGTTGTCTTTGCTAAATCTGGGTAGAGAACTACCTCAACATATCTGTGGTAGAAAACCAAATGTACCAGGAGATGGTACATGTAAAATTCCATTATTTTTTCAGACACATAATGTCACGTGCGACTCAACAGATCATTTGGTGGTTCTAAACATTCCTCTGGGTTGGAATAGAAATAATCCTCTTCTTTGGGCCTATCATGGATTACCAACCTTTTACTAGGGTTACCCATGCGATGCGCGTGAGATTCCTTCACGGCTGAAGAAAATTGGTCCCAGTTCAGTATTCCATTGTTGTACTGATCGATTAAATCAACTAAGAGCTTTCGGTTCAATAAAATTGTCTTCTTGAACCCAAGATATCTGTATAAGCAATGGAGGGAAAATGTCATTTCACTTGGGAAAGACCAAATGATAACAGTAGGATCTTTATTCTGTATACAAAAACTACATTTTGGTCTCTCAGAAGATTTGATCATGTGGATACAATTATAGTTTCAGTAAGAAAAGGTTTTTTAGTTTTCAACAGAACACTGAAGGAATGAATATTCCAAAGGAAGTATAAAAAACAAGTTTTGCTAAGAAACTGGTTCTCTGGTAGAACCCAAATTTTAAATTTTGTTTATCTGAAGTGGTTTAAGCGAAAACACTGCTCAAGCACACAAATCGCATATGTTCCTAGAAGAAAGATACCTGCGATGGCCCGCAACTACTTTGGCCATATTTCCATCATATGTGGGAACAAAAATATCACTCTCTAGTGAGACAAGATAATCCAATGCTGCCATCTGAGATGAATGATTTTGGAAGAAACGAAGGTCAGATGGCTCCAACAGAGTTTCCTTCCTGACCTGTTTTAACAACAAAGCGCGAGAGGCAAACAGTAAGGACATAAATCAGTAACATACAACAATTACCATGCTGTCTATAGTTTAGCAATAAAGGTTACCAATTTTGGATACTCCTTTGAGAGACTTGTCGTTCTCCTTTCTCCACCATATATTTCACCAGCTGCAATGTAGATTTGAATGTTCCGATCAATGTCAAGAGCCCTTAGTGTAAGGGCAGTCTCCTCAGGTGTTAGAGGACATAAACCATCTCTTCTTTTCAAATCAGAATTAATAATTTTCTCTTTCCACCAAGGATAGGCGTATCTGCCAATGCACAGAAAATTGAAATTTGAGGGAGAGTTGTCACTTTTTGATGTCCATAGTGATTGGGAAAAAAAATTAAACTTTTGAAACAGGTGAATTATGCAGATTAATTATCACCTCATTCTTGTCAACTCCTCCACTTCTTCACTGTTACAACCTTGAGTACAGCCAGAAAATGCTAACATGTCCATCTCATACCTCAGATGAAGTACCAGAAATGGGCCATTTTTCCTTAGAAGACTGATCACCTTTCTCCCCAACTCCTCTATCTGAGGAGTAAATTTCAGAGCACTAAAATTAACTCTGCAACGCAGCTTCTGAATCTCTAGAGGTTGGTTGTTATTGGCCAGTCGAGAATCCGTTCTATTTAAATGGACAACTTTGTACTTTTGTATCAAGGGTAGAATCTACACACAAAAAATGAAAAAAGCCATTTGCTTTAAATTAGCAAAGGATAGACCGATAACAACGTAATCAAGGCACATAGTGAGAAAGATATAATCACAAACTAACCAATTGTCCTTTAGGATAAAGCATGTTTTAGTTCCTGAAATAATTGACCCATGGATACCAAAAACTGACCTGGTTCTTATAGTAAGATATGTCAGACCAACTAATGGGTGGCATACTGTAAAGGAAACCATGTTCCACTTTCTGCTTGAGTCTAGTAGGCAACTCTTTCAATATCCGAACCTCATCTCTCAAGGATGTGATAAAATGATCCACGTCAAATATGTCTTTGAACTCACTGCAACATAAAAACAATAAATAGTCAATGAACTGTGATGAAGGGCAGAAATTCTCTAACCAAATCAGCATTAATATGGTTGTCAGTCACCAAAACATATGGCAATAGAATCAGAGACTCACCTGGGATCAGCCCAAAAGGATGTTTTATCAAGTTCAGGAACTATAAGTGTGACATTTAAATATCTAGCAATGGCAACCATGTCACAAATCTGCAGTTAAAATAAAAAATCAGAAAAGCAAACCGAAAGAATACAGGATAACTTAGTTGCACCATTGCCCAAACAAGAACAAAAGCACAAACTAAAAAGCATATGATTCAGCTATTTACTCCCTCAAATTTTAGGGCCATATATTTTAATCCATGGGATTAACGAAATTCTAACAGTCACTCAATCGAAAATGCTCAATCACATTAGCCACTTAGAGATAATTTCGAGGAACTAAATTGACTGGCCTAGTCCCATAAGTAGAGCTCGGATGGTAACAGGCTGGAGACATTTCTCAGTGCCACATTGTATGTATGTCAGTTTAGAACCAAAAAAATGACCAACTTAAAAATAGCATCATGATCATGTAGGGTTTTTAATTTCAAGATGATTCCAAATGGGTTAATTTCAGATCAAATTGTTAAATCCCTAAAATTTCAGGACAATCATACTTCAGTCACTAATAAAAAAACACATTGCGTAGACAACTCACCGCTGCTCTCATTTGGTTCAGTCCTCCATTACATGAGATCATCAAGTATCCATTGTTTTTATAAACTCCTGATCACAATAACGTTTCAAAAATTAATAATTAAACAAAGTAGTAGATAACAGCAAACACGCAACAGAAACACAAATAAATAAATTAAATGAAGATTAAATTATCAATAAATATTAATAACTGCATTAAACACTTTGAAATCATTATCATAACTAAACAAGAAAACAAATTAGGAACCATTTAATGACTTAATTAGGAATGTCAAAAACTAACTCTTGGGAGGTAGAAGTGGTGGACGTGAAGAAGGAAACTGAATATCCATAGCTCTGGAATTCGAAGCAGATTCATGAGTGAAACACGAAGGCCAACCTTTAAGAACTCTAGGACCCCATAAATCACCTATAGCTGTTAATTGAACGATGCAAGTCCATAATATCACCGATGAAGTTGCACGAATCATCCATAGTTTCATTCTACCCCTTCCTGAACCCGAACCTAAACCCGAACCTGAACCTGAACCAGAACTAACTTTCTCCTTTTGAACCTTCAAACCCATCCAACCCAAATCTTGCCACTTGTTGCTATTACTCTCTGGCTTACACATCTTATTCTTACTCCAATTTCTTCATACAGAAAAAATAAACCCTAAAATTCAGATTCAATCAAGGAAATCTTCAAGATCGAGTTTTCAAAAACGACACCGGATCAAACCTATCAACTACTCACACTATTCCACCAATGCAGCCACAAAAGACACTGTGAAATCGAGTCCAAAAATCAACAACACCGTTCGTTTTCTTAGCACAACGTTTTCAGAACCGAAACCGCAACAACAACAAAACTAACTGCACTATTTTTTTTGGAGCAAAATGTATTTAAAATTGAGGAAATAAACGTGAAGTTAGAATGAGAATTGAAATTTGTCCGGCGAGGAATGATCGGCGGAGCGCGGTGGCCGGAGAGTGAAGAAGACGGTGGAAGAAGAATTGTAATTATAGGTTGTGAGAATGAAATGCGAATATAGAGAAAGACATTCGGAGTTGACACATGCTAGTGCTACTACACCTACACCGGTGTTAACTGAACCCGAGTTAAGTTAACCTAACCATGGTTAACTTTACAATGGACTTTGGATAACTTCCCCTTAACTTGTCCTAAAGTATATTTTTTTGATGATGGTCCTAATGTCCTATATAGGATGGATAAACTAGTTGTATGGTACAATACACTATGACAGATATTGAGTATGATAATTAAACAAGGTTGAAATATTTGACTATGTATTTCAATTAGGATATCTATTTATAATGGTGGTTATGGAAGTACAATTTCTCCCATTTTACTTTCAACTAGGATTTTTTTGTTAAACCAAATTTGCAATAACTCTTCTATTTCAGAAACTAAGATATTTAATTTTAAAAAATGGAGACTATTTTTGTAAATGTAATAAATAGTTGGATCACAAGTCTAATTAAGCATTATTAATATAAGTTCTTATCAACAAGTGGTCCTAAATGCACATATAAGGAAAGAAATGAAGTTTTTATTTGGAAAAGTAACAACTTCTAAATTTTAATTTTCAAACAAATGGTAAAGTGTTAGCATTTTTCCTTGGTATTGTTGCCTTCTTTTCCTTGGTAAAGTGTTTAATATATTTTTGAAATTTATATATTAAACTTAACTAATTTTAAAAAATAGCTATATAAAATCTAAATGATATTCCAATAAATAATAGTTTTTATTTTAGTGATTTTACTAAAAAATTAAACTCGAGCATTTAAATTAACTTTTTTAATACATATAATTTAATCGATAAACTCGACTCATGGTATGGGTTATTTTATTTTATATTAAAATTAAGATACAATTATATATAATATTGTATTTATATAACAATATAATTGTATCAATAATTTAAATTTTGAATTTAATAATAGAACAAAATAGATCAAATTATCATAACCATAAACATATATTAAACTATGAAATTATCTTACCAAATTATAAAAATATTTTTTTAAAAATTTGTTAAAAGTTAAAACAAATCAAAAGACAAAAATTAAATAAAAAAAATTTAAAAAAAAAATTTAATAAAAATATCCATAAACAGAAAAATACGTTTTAACTCTATGACAAAGAAATACACTAAATATAAACGTTAGAAGGATTACTTCAGTTCACATGTGAAACTTCACTGCTTGGCATGTGAATTTAATCTTTCACCAATAAACTATAGACAATGTGCTGAGGGAAAGCAATAGATGCATGATGCATGAACATTTTGCAGAGGGTCTAGGGATTATAACTTTTTTTTGGGAGTAACATTGCTCTCACTTCATTTCCTCTATTTATTTTGCTTTCATAAATATATTTAAATAAATAATATTGTACTAATTTAACGAGAATTTCTAGTAGGACGAAAAATAGCTACAACTAGTTTTCGATTAATAGGTGATATTCATCTTTTTCGATATACCTCCTGCCGTGAAGTCTCTCTCATTGCCGCTTTCTTCACTGCGACGTAGCTGATTTCTGACTAGAGAACACTCTAATGATTTGGGCCATTAGATGCTATTTTTGACACGCGTCGAGATCTTAAGCGCTATTAGTTCACCTTATAATTTAAACAATGAAATTTAATATTAATTAATTTGAATAATGATTTTTAAAATTCTATTAGAAATGTGTGTACCTAAATCAATCATATGAATTCTTATAATTTATATCATTTTTATTAAATCCTATCTAAATTAATCTATATATTTTTAATCAGTTTAAATATTAAAAAAAATTAAAATCAAACCAAATCAATACGTGAACTCTTAATCAACCGTTAGAAATTGTTTTATTGACAGCGTCAATGGTTGGGAGAAATTGACTTATGCATGAAGCATGATATAAAACTATTCCTTATTTTCCTTCAAAAACAAGATTGAAAAACTGTCCAAAAAATAACTTGATGAAATAGTTAGATTTTTCTAAAGTAAAATGGACGAATCAATTTAAGAAACCACATTTGTCAAAAAAAAAAAGGGTAAGAACTCAAAGTTCAACTCTTTTCCATTATTATATTGAAAGACTTGCACTTTTAAATTTGTTTAATCCATTTTGTAGTGACCTTCGCGTGTGATACTCTCCCAACTATGACGTAATCTTTTGATTTTCATGTATTTTGATCAAAAAAACATTCTCTTGTATCTATTAGTTGTATCGGTCCTTTTAGTATAAAATTATTTAAAATATTAAATTATTTTTAAATTATATATATATATATATATATATATATATATATATATATATATATATATATATATATATATATATATATATATATATATATATATATATATATATATATATATAAAATATTACATGACATTGAATGTAAATATTTTATTAGACGAGGATATTGGTATTCAACTAAATTTAAGAGTACTAGAGTGTTCACCTATTTTAAATCAACATAAAAAATAAACCGTAGACTTTTTCTATTAATTTCAATAAAAAATATTATTTTTATTTTTATTATTATTATTTTATACTAAAATTAATATATATATATATATATATATATATATATATATATATATATATATATATATATATATATATATATATATATATATATATATATATATATATATTAATTTTAGTATAAAATAATAATAAGAAGAAAGGTTGGAAAGGAAATCCAAAACTGGGAAAAAGAAAGTACTAAACTGAAGGAAGTAAGTGACCAACTAATACCACTCTCTGACTCACCCTTACCACGCGTGAGCATTCCCAGGAATCATCATCATATACCTAACACGCAGCAGCTTGTGTGTCCCAAGATCATATCATCACTGTTCCCCTCTTTGTCTCGTGATTCGCTCCCACCGCCCGTCATTACTTCTTCCATGCCACCTGGCACACATGCAAAACCCCCTCTTCCTTACGTGGCAACTGATCCTTCTTCCTCTCATGCAACACTCAGCACACAGCCTATGTCCAATTGGGCCAATTCTTTCTCTCGATCCACCACACCTTCTAAGCCCAACCTTGAGGGCAAGGTTGCTGTTGGGCCGAATAGTATTGATAGTAGGCCCATACGAGGCAAAGTCCAGCCACATTGGATGAGAGATTATGATATGAAATAGTTATTTCTTTTAATGTGTTTCTGCATATTTTCAGTTTGAGCCCTTTTCTGTTTAAGCCCATTTGAGTTGATGTATTTAAACTCTATTACTCTTCTTAGGGAAGGGAGAAAAAACAGTTGTTTTTTAGAATTATTCACTTTTATTCTCTCTTTGATTTTGTGCAACTCTTATGGTAAACTCTAGATTAATCTTTTGAAATTATTGTTGGAATATCTCACTTCTATCAATGAATGATACACATGAGGGCAATATAAAAATTAATATATATATATATATATATATATATATATATATATATATATATATATATATATATATATATATATATTTATATATATATATATATATATATATATATATATATATATATATATATATATATATATATATATATATATATATATATATATTAATTTTTATATTGCCCTCATGTGTATCATTCATTGATAGAAATAATAAAAATATTTTTTATAATAAAAATAAATATAATATTTTTTATATTGCCCTCATGTGTATCATTCATTTTAGTATATATATATATATATATATATATATATATATATATATATATATATATATATATATATATATATATATATATATATATATATTGATCGTATCTGATCAGAGAGAGACCGTTGATCGGCTACGCGTCTGAGCTGTTGAACTGTTGACTTGACGGACAGAGGGGGTGTACCTGAAACACACTCCGATGTCAAAGTAAGGGTCGGGCAAAGTGATAACAAGTACAGAGAGAAAGGAGTAAGAGTTAGATTACCTGACCCTCTAGTGTAATAGGGTATTTATAATGAGCCTCTAGCACAGGGCCAACGGTTACTATGTGTTGGGCTAGGCTGTCAGGCCCAACGCTGGTAACTGTAACAGCCAAATTTTCAATATTTAATTATTTACATTAATTAATTGATTGATTTACTTGGATTATTTTATTTATTGGATGATTATTTAAATGAGTTGGTATATATTTGGAGAGAAGGAAATATATTGGAGAGAAATAAAAGAAAAGGTATATAAGTGGAATAGAGGAAAGAAAAGATAGAAATGAGATAGAAAGGAGAGAAAAAAAAGAGAGAAAGAAAGAGGAAGAAGAGAAAGAGAAGGGAAAGAGAGGAAAAACTTGGATTCTTCAAGAACAACTTCTAGCTTTCCGACTAATCAAGGTAAGGGTGTGAAATCTTACTATCTTAATCAATGTGTATGATTATATATGTGTGTGTTGGATTGTTTGAATGTTTTCCATCCTTTTCCATTATAGGGCAAAAGGAGTTTAATCGGTTAGAGTCGAGTTTTGAACGGTTAGAATCGGAAATAAATTGCATAGTTTAGTCGGGTAGTGTTCAGCCGTGACTAATGGTTTTCGTTTGATTGAATTTGGTTGAGTTTGTGAGTTTTGATATTTTTGGTCAATTAGAGGTTAAGATTTTGGATGAAAATCGGAAGTCGTAGA